CTCTTCCCTCTGTGTCTGCATTTTGGGTCCTATTCCTCACTGCCATCACAGAAATTTTGTAATGGCTCCCCAGTTAGAGAGTAAAAGGCCTTAATCATTCTCCACCACAAGAAAATCTATGGAATGTCTGAGAAAAAAAAACATAATTTATAGTTATGACTTTTGTTTCAGTGCATGATTTTGAAAATCTCAAAGTGTTGACATGTGAAAGTCTGTGAAATAAGGAGTTTGATGTAGTGATTGACTGATTTGGTGGTCATTACAAACACCATCAGCTTGTTTTTCAGTGCTTATTAAGAAACAAAATAACTTCAACAGACACAATTTGAACTTTAGTTTGCTTTTGTTTATTTAAAAATGAGATGTGAGAAAAGCAAATGACTTTTGTCTTATTCAAAATTAATTAAAATATTCAGAATTTTGTACACCAACACCTAAGGAATGTGCAAATGCTTCTCATGTCTGTGTACATTGTTTTCTGATGATAAATAGTCTTGAAGCCAGGTAGTCTCTGTGATGATCCCTGTGTCATCTAGGGGTGTGTCTGCTGTGAGTGTCTCAGGCCTGTCTCTCCCAAGCTGCCTTGATTGCAACTCAGTGCACCTGGGTCCGGTGCACTGAAGCTGATAAAAGCTGTGGTCACTCATTCACTCACCCTCTGCTTCTTCCTACAGGCAACCACTCTGGTCTGGTTTGGTAATGTTTTAGTTTCTTTGCTTTGACGCACTCTCCAACACTTACACATACACACTCTCCCACACCCATCATTCAATACTCACACATAGTACTGATATCACTGACATTCACACTCCATATGTTATTCTTATTTAGTTATTTGCTAATTTGGTCTAATTTGGTTTGATTTGCTTCCAATAAAATATCTTTTGTTAACCGTTCATCATGGTGTGTCTCTCTTTTGTTATGGCCACTTGAGCCGGGTCTTAACAGTCTCTATATACAGACTCTACATTCAGTGAATGTAGATTCTGTAGGCAAACCCCGGAGATCTTGCCTCCGGATGAAGAGCGGAAGAGCCCTGGTTTCCGGTTGTAGGCTGTTTGTAGTCCGCGTGATATTGATCAATCACGTTTGAGCCGGCTGCAGTTGTTGCCAGGGTAAACGCTCTGTGCGGTGAACTAACGAGGCGGAACATTATTGGTGTCACTGCAAACTCTGAATCCATCGCAATGGGTCAGCATATTTACTTATATATAAACGGAAGTCAGAAAACGGAAATTTGTCTCCTCCGCCCAAATCAAACCGGAATGCCAAAAAATCAGGGGTCTGCCCCCACAGGCTGTATTGCCGTCTGCCGGAAGTCAGACGCCAAATACAGCCGATGGGTTAAGAGAATTACTAAATTTACCACATAGACAAATTAAGTCAATGCCACAAAATTCTTTCTGCTCTAAGTAGCCAAGTGACACATCAAACAAAACCATTTACAGAAAAATAGTAAATAAACAACACTGTATGCACAAACATCACAAATAATACACATTACATTAAAGGTCCATTGTGTACGATTTAGGGGCATCTATTGGCAGTAACTGTATATAATATTCATAACTATGTTTTCATTAGATTATATTCAGTTGAAATTAAGAATTGTTGTGTTTTTGTTACCTTAAAATGAGCCATTTGTATCTACATGTAGAGTGGGTACACTTCAATGGGCTATGCCATGTTGTTTTTACAGTTGTTCAGACTGGACAAACCAAACACTGGCTCCAGTTAGGGTCATTCGCGTTTTTTGCCAGGCACTGCAGTTCTCCTACATCATGCATACTCAACTTACATTGCCCAGGGGCCACTTTTGCAAAATGACAGGAGGTCAAGAGCCAGTCAGCAGCCCCGCACACGTACGCAGGGGCATTTCAAGGATTTGAGGACATTTGGGGCTTAGATTGGATGTATGTAAGGGGAACCACAGATCCTCCTCCGGCACTATTTTGATAAACAAGCTCTAATTTGATGCCTTTTTAAAGCTGCTTTCACACCCACGTGTGGTAACTGGCAGCCTCCAGTCAGTTCAAAGAGAGGAAGGGGGCAGAGGGAATGTGGTTACGAACATAACAGTCGGGGTATGAAGCAATTGCCGCCCACGTAAATACGCACAGATTTTGCTGTGCCAAGCTGATAATGTTGATGTCGGACCACCCAGAGTCGAACAACACAGCGTTAACAACTTATACAACGCATTCTCATTCTGTCCTTGTCACATATTGATGTTTGGTAATGGATTTTCCATGTCAACATATGACGTGCAACGTACCCTGGGTGCGTTGGTTGTTGAAATTCTGGGATGCCATGTCAACTTCTGCCTGTTATATATATATTGTCTGTTTTCAAAATACACTTACACCTTTACAGGAAATGTACATTTTGCATACAGTCTCTTTCAAAATAAACTCACTGCATGGGTACAACACCGCCAATTGATGTTTTTTCCCTTCAACAACAAATGCACATGATTACGTTTAGCCATCACGCACACATGGTTACCTTTAGCCAGCACCCACATGTTTAGGTTAAGGCAACAAAAGCATATAGTTGGGTTGAGGAAAAACGAACAGGGTTTCGCTTTCGCAACATGAATGCCAGCATCCCTGGTGAAAGTAGGTGGTTGTTGGGCCCATCCACCTCCCCTCTTGCCTGCCCTACTGAGACTTTTGCCCCCTTAACCTCCGTTGTTGTCTAGACGCACTTCCCGCCGATGCCACTGGGACTGGCTGCGTATCAAGCCGACATGAGAGTACAGCTTTTCTTTGTCTTTGCCTGACACCAGAAGTCACTGCTCAAGCACCAGTATTCTACGACTTCAGAGTTATTCAGCTGTTATTTATATGGCTCCAAGCTAGCTTGCACTTCCCTCAGTGTCATTCTCCGAATTATCTATGTCATCACAGTTGTAGTCATTGTAGTTGCAGCAGACTGCTTTGCTTTTTTAGGGAACACTCTTGCAGGTATGCTGTTGCTGTGCGGCTGTGAAAAAGAAAAATAATAATAATAATAAAAATAATGTATAATAAAAGTATAAAAGGGGCCACCAGGCACCCTAGTGGGAGCCAGATTTAGCCCACGGGCCTTGAGTTGAGTATCACTTTCCCACACACTTGGCACACAAGAGAACTTTCAGTTTTGCAACCTCACTGCTAGATGCCCGAAATCCTACACAATGGACCTTTAAAGGCTGAAGTAAATTCAGTGATTTCTTTCAAATCATGTCACACATCTTTGAAAATACTTGTTGAAAACATGTGAAGAGATGGAAAACTATGCAGTGCCATTTAATGTTCATATCTACCAATACATGAAAAAGCATCTCTGTGAAATGCCACAATCATATAAACACAAGCAAAATACCTGTCACTAACGTACCTTTCTGTCTTTTTGCCTGAGTTGGCTACCTAGCCTGCCAGTAGTTAAGGCCTGCCGCTGTGGGTGTGTGCTTGTGCTAAAGCTGCAACGATTAGTCAACTAATCGATGACTAATCGACTATAAAAGTAATCAGTGACTACTTTAGTAGTCAACTAATCAGTTTGAGTCTTTTTTCATAGAAAAGTACTATAACTAGGGCTGGGCGATAAATCGATTTTATCGATTAATTCGAATTTGTAGTTTAGGCCTATTTGTTTTAATGAAAATCAAGTTTCTATTTAAAATCCGCCACCGCCGCTCCCCGCTGGGCTCCCGTAGTTCAGAGTGGGCTCACCCCTCCCCCGCGCGCGCTTGATACACAAACAATATGGCAGCGAGCACTGAAGAACTCGTTCTCAAGAAAGGGAATGAGTTCTTCAGCGCTTTTGTGTGTACACCTGTGTCTGTGTCTGTGTGTGTGTGCTCACCTGTGTAAATGTCTGTGTGCTCACCTGCGTGTGTGTGCGCATCAGGGCCGAACTCCGCCGTGCGCGACACAGAGAGCAGAGGAGGATTTTAGACACGCACCGTGTAGGGACATAAATGACATGTGCGGTGTAAATAAAATAAATAAGTGTTACAAGCTGGCAGACCCCCGAACCGTAGTAAAGGGACCTCCGAAGACTATTAGCTCCTTTAGCTTGTGTTAGCTCGTTGTGGCAACAACACATAAACAACGGGACTTCGTCTGCGTTAAAGAACGGCACTTTATTTTCAGCACTGCAGGGATGATGCACAGCCTCTCTCATCAGTGTCTGACTTTAGAGGGAAATAACTCAAAAACAGCATGCAGAACTGCGTAGGCTTCTTCACTGTGGCTGCTCGATGTAAACAACGTAGAAAATGCCTCACTTTCTTCCGGGGGCGCATCCGTCTGACGTCACACACCACACCCGGCGCACTAACGTCTCATACCTCCAACATCAACTACACACACACACACACACACACACACACACACACAAGCCACACACATCAGGCTCAGCCTGTAACATAAGGCTATTTAGTTTATTTAATAAAAAGACAAGATATAGACCTGTTCTATAGGAAAGGTAACCTTAAATGACTTCTGTTGTGATCCAATATAATGGTAGGGGAAACATTGCCGTATGATAAGAAAGGGGTCCGGTGGAAAGCGATCACAGATGTAGTCGCCATGTATATTGCAAGCGATATGGTGCCCATATATAGGCTACTGTGGAAAAGCTGGGGTTTATTCACATGCTGAAAGTTTTGGACCCCAGGTATGTGCTACCAGGCCGCAAATATTTTTTTTTAACTAGGAGGGGAAAAAATCTATAAATCGTGAATCGGATTTTTTGTGACCATATCGCCCAGCCCTAACTATAACAGTACCCCAAAATACCCTTATTGCATCTTCTTACATTCAGACATTGGCAGCTTTACACACTCTCCCATGACAAGTACAATTACGAAACAAGACATTAGATGACATAGTTTTTGGGGTTTGGGAGCGACAAACTGACATTTTTCAACATTATAACACATTTTTCGCTAAAATGATTAGTCGACTAATCAAAGAAATAATTGACAGATTAGTTGACAATGAAAATAATGGTTAGTTGCAGCCCTACTTTGTGCTAACGTTAGCTGCTGTTAGCTGCTGAACGAGAGGCTGTCGCTGCAGAGCAACACTATTTTTTTTGGCTTGGGTGGTGTGTGCTGTGATACCATAAACTGTATGTGCTACTGGGTTAGCTGCTAATGAGAGTCCATTGCTTTGCAGCAGCTCGACCTTCATTTCAGATCCTTCAGTGGACACGCTCCCAGTAGCAATTTTTCATCATTCAAATTTGGCTGGGTGGTCAGTAACACATTTTTCTGTAAGAACACATACCTATTTTTGCTTTAACCTGATAGTGAATCTCTCTGAGGAAAATCAAATAATTGTTCTACTCAGTGTGTTTGACAGGAGAGATAATCAGAGGGGCAGAGTTTTTACCACTATTGTCACCAAGAGGACAAAAGAGTGGGTAGAGTTTCTCCATGAAGGAGCAGCCAGTAAAGGTGTAGATAAGAAATGCAGCATCAACATCATAAAAAGACACGAGACCCTCCTCATAATCCACAAACACCCCCACCTTCTCAGGCTGACATCTCAGAGATAGAGGGACTGCAGGCCCGGCACAAGCTTTGTACTCGTTTTCATTCCTCAAACATATTAGCCAGAAGCCAATCTGAGGGCTCGGCGTGATGCTCCCTTTCCTGTTGATGGATTCTCTGGCCACTCCTAAAAACCAGTCAGTCTTCCCTTTAACTTGAACCTCGTAATAAAATCTTCCTGAAGGGAAACTCTGCTTTGCCAAGACATTAGGACATGTATCAAATCTCTTTGGATTGTCTGGGAGAAACTTCCAGTCATTACCACTTTTTACTTGTTTCCCATCATCAGACAGGATGAGTTTGGTATATGCTGTATCAGGATCAAGAGTCACATCCACTGTGTACTGCTGGACCCTCTTCAGCTCAACCCCAAACATCTTCTTAATCTGTTCACTGAGCATCTCTTCCAGGGGAGCCAAAACTCTACTCACAGTCCCTGCATACAGTGGATGGACACTGACTTCTGTCCAGTCCTTGGTGAGTGAAGCAGTGTTCAGGGATAGTAAGCTTTGGAGGAGGTGGAGATAGTCTTCAGACTGTGAGAGCTGCTCCACCTCAGTGCTTCTCTTCCTCAGGTCAGAGATTTCCTGTTCCAGCTCTGTGAGGAAGCCTTCAGCCTGTTTCTCTGTCTTTTTCTGCTTCTCTTTGATTGTGTCAGTTAGCTCGGCCTGGCTTCTCTCAACAGACTCCTTCAGAGTGGTGAGGACCTGAACACCATCTGCTATCTCTCGGTCTGCGTCATCCTTACTGAGCTCCACTGAGTTTTTGATCTCTTCAACCTTCTCTTGTCTTTTCTGGATCATCTCTTGAATTTCATCCTCCAGCTCGGCCTTCTTTCCCTCATATCCTTCTTTTAGAGGAACAACATCGTGTGTCTTGTGGTCCGAAATAGTGCAGAGCATGCAGACACACATCTGGTCAGTCTTACAGAACAGCTCCAGCAGTTTATCATGCTTCGTACACATCCTGCCCTCCAAGTTCTCCACAGAGTCGGCCAGCTGATGTCTTTTCAGACTTGATATTGTCAGATGAGGCTCCAGGTGAGTCTCACAGTAGGAGACTAGACACACCAGGCAGGACTTCACGGCCTTCAGTTTGGTTCCAGTACAGATGTCACAGGGAACTTCTTTGAGATTTGAAAGTTTTTGCTCTGAGCTGCTTCTGCTGGCGCTCTGTTGAGCTGGCTGTCTGAACTGAGCAGCTATCTCAGAAATTAAAGTATTGACCTGCAGCTCTGGTCTTGTGTTGAAAACTTTTTGACAGTTCGGACACTGACACTGGACATTAAAATCCCAGTGTTCAGTGATGCAGGTTTTGCAGAAGTTGTGTCCACATGGTATGGCGACTGGATCAGTGAACACCTCCAGACAGATGGAGCACAGAAACTGATTTTCAGTCAGAAAACAGCTGGCAGCAGACATATCTGCACTCTGAGAACAAAAAGTGTGAAAGAACAAAACTGTAATTATCTTGTCATTATTACTTCCATGAACTTTGATCAGTGGATTATTATTTTACAACTAAGCGCTAAATTCACTAAGAAAATGGTGTAATGCAATATGACCTGTGGCTGTCAATCTGCACGTATTCAGCTTCTAATTTACTAAGACAGCTCATTATGTAGTCAGGTCCTGGAATATGCAGTGAATAAAAGACAGCTCAGATGTGCAGCTCAGCTGTATGTCTTTGTGAGCACCAGGCTCACAAAATAAATGATGACATGCAGATTCATATTCTAAAACTTTTACTTTGGCTATCTGGGAGGAAAATACTTTTTCTCAAAATGCTCCTCAAAGTAGGTGCAGGTGGAGATGGTTTTGATGTTTATTTTGATAGAAATTGAGCTAAATTTGCAACCAGTCTGCTGTGGTGAAGTTAGTTTTAAGTTGAAAATTCAACAGCCATTCACTCTGGATCCAGCAGTGTTTTTTTTTTTTTTTTTTATTGTTAATCTTATTTTTATTTATTGCGAGACAATACAAAACACAGTTAATACAAAAGTGAATACAGGCCAGTAAATTAATTGTTGCCAGGGGATAAAGGGATAAGGTTGTGCTGGCTGTCTACAGGTTGACCCGTTCTGGAGTTTTTCCAGTGATGCCATGGTACTGCCTCGTTGCAGGTGGACGGAGGGACACTTCCCCCTGACTTTATTATTCATTATTAATTATCATTCAATTATTGGTATTAGTGGTAACAGGGTAAAGGTAGGATTTGTTTATATTGGTATTTTGTTCTTTTTTTTTATTATATAATTTATTTATTTTTATTATTAGTGCTTTCTTAGTTTTATGCTGGACCACTAAGGTTGACTTATGTAACATCAACAAATTACTGTTTGAATGACAAAACACTGATGCTGATGTGCCCATATTAGTGAAAACTTGGATTAAGAAAATATATACTGAATTCTTCTCAAGTTGCACTCTTATTTTAATTGCTAATCTATAATTCACTTGCTCAACAGATGTATTTTTATGGAAAATGTATGTATTTTCTTTAATAGCTTTCATCCAGTGTCACCAAGCGGCTCCAAATCAATACCAAAAAAATAAAAACCACACTGGCTTTCTTGGGTCTAAAATCTAGTGTGAGTAAATCATTTTTCAAAGCAGGCATAACAATTTAAATTCAAATTCAACATTTAACTTCACACATTTATTACAATGTACAGTTATAATTAACAATTTCTATTCATTTTATAAGTATGTGTCTGAGGGAGTAGAGCTGAAGAAGAAATCATCTTCTCTGTCCAAAGAGAAGTCAGGTTGGACAAAGAGGAGGAAGAGAAGGTACACAGGGAGAGCATGATGATACAAAGTGCAGAGAATAAGACACATTTAATGTGTACAAGAAAGTTGGAATCTGCTGCTCTGGACTGCAGACAATTATGAGATCATTCATTTCTACAACACCTACGACTACTGATGGACCTCAGTTGAAATTCTGCCATAAGTGAGTCTGATTGGAGCTCGGGATTAGACTTCATACTGATTGTTGGAACACACTAAGCTGTACTTCTTTAGAAAGACAGACAGCACTAATTACAGACACACTGGAACTGAGAATAAAAATCAGATACGAAACTCTGTATGTTGATACATTTTAAGGGAATCCAAGCTTAGGGTGACCATATTTTGATTTCCAAAAAAGAGGACACTCGGCCGGCCACGACATAGCCTACTTAAATGATACTCGCAGTTTACTCAAAGATGCCTTATAATTTTAATATATTTAAAATTTATATGTATGGATAGAAAATTCAGTTATATCACAAAATAATATCTCTCAAAGACAGAAATTCAGATAGGCCCCTATTTGGGACACATACACACACTAGAGTGTGGCAATCCGAGCCCGATGGTACCCGACGGGTTGGGCCGGGTTTGGTCAGAAATGTAGCTATAAATTGTATTCGGGCTCGAGTCGGATTCGGTCAGCTTTCAGTGAAAATATAGTGTAAAATTAAATAAAATCCTATTGTCTGTCCTGTTTATTGCTTGGGCACTGTTATTTACGTGACAACACCTGAACATAACACACAGACAAACATTGGCTGTTTGTTTCTACCTCTCTCCTCTCTGGAAGTCTCGGACCTCCAGCCGCCCTGCTCCGCCTTGATTAAACACTGAAAATAAAATAAAAGAGGGAGACAGGTTTTTCCTATTTTATCTTATTTTGTTTTACTTCTCCATCTCCTCTCCGCAGCTGAGCACCCACAGCGCACGTCCGGCCTGTTAAATAGCCTGTAACCACTGTGTGACACAAGCTCAGTGCTTCGGTCATTATAATGTCGGGCTCGGTTCGGGCTCGGACATAAAACAGACAGACAGAAAACTTAGTTACTGCATTTTGTCTCTGTAGGGCAGCGTACTCACCGGTGTTTGTTGTTGAGAAGAACCTGCTGGATCAGTTAAACATTTCTTTAGAGAGACACAGAGAGACTTGTCTCAACTGCAGCTCTGCTCTCTGTCAGATAAACTTTCACTTTCATTTCAGGAAATGTGACGTAGCAGCTCTTTCACTGTTGGTCCACCCAGGAGTGGGCTGGGATAACAAGCTGGACTCAGTATTTTGGCCCAGACTGGCCCACCACAATCAATCACACAAAAATAAGTCATTTATTCTTATATATTTATATATGACAATGAGTATCATCACGGTTACAAGAGTCTATGAAGCACAGCAGAATAGTTATAGCTCCTGCTAGGCTATGATTGGACAGGCTGCGTTCGAGGGGCAGGACTCAGCAAAGGGTGATCTGAAATTAAATTCTTATGATTTTAAATTATTGTTTATTTTATTAATTTTGCTTTTTTGTTTTGTTGTATTCAACAGAAACAAAAGTAAGAGGACAGGCAGCTGGCTTGTTGATAAGTCCACACTCATAACTCAGAGGCACAGTCTGCATTAGTTTGAATACAATAAATAAAGTGTTTGTTTACGTTTGTGAATAGCTACTGATTATTTACTCAGTATCCTCTGCTGGGCTGTAAAGTCTAACAAAGCAGCAGCTGTGCTGAGTAAAGCATAATAATCTGGATGGATCAAACCCCCTGGCATCACCATGTGCCCAACCCAGCAGACATGAATTTGGACTGGAGACACAGAAACTCATAAATAAAGCACATGGTACTTGGATTTAATATTTAACATGTTCCGAACCGTTGTGAAGCTGCGCTGTTACACAGCTGAACATCCGTTTTCACAACATGTGTTTCTTGTGTTTCTCACCTGAGAACAAAGTCATTTAATTGGTAAGAACAATATTTAATTGATTAAAAACAACAAATTTAACCCTATGTTGTTTTTGTTGACAACTTGAATCACTAAAGAAGCGTATGAGCATTATATTACAAACTGCCATCAGTATGAAAGTTTATATATGACCTTTCTTTGCATCGGCTGGTTGCTGCTTAAGCATGAGGGTACCGGGGGGTGATGAGCATCCAGCCTCAGCTGCACAGGCATCAGCACACTGCAGGCAAAACTGTTACAGTTTGATTATCCCCATGTGGAAATGTACCTCTTTCTTTAAGAATTTAAAAGTTTCTGCACACAACTGTTTGTTTGTGCAGGCTTCTTAAGTCTTCTGAACATCAGGATGTGCTTGTGTCAAATGTGAAGCAGACAAAAAGAAACCTTAAAGCCTTTTTATTAATAAAGTCCCTGAATTGGACCTGTGGCATCAGACTGTCAATTTTAATCTATCACTGCAGCTTACTGCTGGGCCCATTTGATATTTGTCTTGTTTTTTGTCTGTGGTTGAATTTAAGCGGAGGAATTCACATCCACTGAAATGCTATCTACGGGGATTTGGTGGTATACCTTCCTCTCCCCGTCTCACTGGATTTAATTCTTATAAATCCAAAGTCCATCTCTGCAGACCAGAGTCAGGGACTGCTGGTGCAAATATCACTTTCTCTATAGCATTTTTTAAAAACTTTAAAACTAAGATATCTTCTCCAGTCAAACTTAGGAAGACACCCTCAACTGCAGATCACAAATTTACTGGGATTAAAAAACTTACTGATAAATCAGCAGCATTGCAGCTTGAGGCAAATCTTCAAGAGGAGAGGGTCTGTTTGTTCGTCTGCATTCAAAGATGATTTTCTCTCTGTTAGCCAGCTGAGACGTCCAATCGACCTGATTCAAGATAGAGTCTGACAGAGTTTAGCTCAGCTACTTACTTGTTACATCTGACTTGTGTTTCTCAGCAGCAGCATCCCTAGGTGTTCTGTCTGCTTTTAACATTTCTTTAATCCCCATTTTTGCTGCTGTAGTGTCTAGTCTGAGGTTTTTCAGTCTTCCAAAAGATACTACTCTGATGTCTCCTTATGGTCTCCTATCTGCTTGCTTCCACTGGATAGTGGAGTTTAAGCGGACTGTGCAGACAAATGACTACAATCAGGTCCAATAATACTTTATAGTTTTTTTAACAATGAAAGTGTTAACTTGGTACAATTCTTAACACTTCTGTCTTCCATGCACTTTACGGGCTCCTGACAGGCTGCTCAGATAGTCACTAATTATCTTCTCTTTTGAATGGATTAAGGATACAAACAGCTGTGTTCATTTTACTCCTGGTTACTTAATTTGGAAAGATTTAGCATCAGGAGGACCCAATTGGTTTTAAATGCCTGACTAGAATGGTAATTAAGAAAGGAAAATATAATGATAGTTAATAGTTTGGTTTCATGAAAATCTTAAGGGTTAAAACTAAATATCCTTCATTTCTGCTTGAGTTTCTTTACACCTATATTTCCCTTTCATATTCAGATGCCCCACAACCCCTCATGACCCTTCAAGGCCAGGTTTTACTGAATACATAGATTGCGATAATTTAATTAATTGCAAATCTGTGTCACTAATTTACAATATCATCTGACACTGAAAGCCCTTTAGGTTTTGCAAGGTCACCTAATCTTGAGGCCCTTTCTTGATGAAGGGCCCTGTGTCAAAAATTTGTTTTACCTTAATTATTTCAGTTTATATTGTGCTCACAGTGTAATTTTCAATATAAATCTGGTTACTTTTCTTGATCAGGGGTGTCTGACAAACATTGATGCACAGAACAGACTCAGATTACAGCAGTAGTAGCCTATTGGTGTTTCCTTTGGAGGTCCATTTCTGCCAGTGATGGAAAAAAAACACCTAGTATCTCAAAATGACGAGAAACTTTACTGAAATGATGAGTGAGTATTTCAAAATAATGAAAATTGATACTAAGTCATTATTTTGCACGTTTCTCATTATTTTGAAATACTAAGGCTCCATACAGAAAGTGTTTTAGCATTACTGTGCACCTTGCTTTTCTACACTCTAGTCACCTGGCGTTTTTGATGGAGCTCCCTGAACTCCTCAAGTTGAAGCAGAAAAGCACCCTCTGTCATCTCTTTTTGCGTCATCTTTTATGCCATTGTCCAATCAGATGATTTGAGAGGCGGGTCCTCTGTGGTAGTCATGGCAATTTGTTTAAAGTTAGTAAACAATTGAGGAAAAACAGGTGGGAGCAACTGCTGGATACACAGAGGTAAACGGCCCGATAGACAGCAGGTTGTCAAACTGCCCCATCATTCCGGAATATGCCTGGAAACAGCCATCATCGAGACGAAGCTCCTGAACTGACTGGTGGTACTCCCCATGATCCAGCAAGCTGTCATGGATTTTCATCCTCCACGTTATGGCCGATCTCCGATTGATCTTCTTAAAATAACTTAAAAGGATTCCTTTCCTAATGAGGGCATTGTATGGCAGAATGTAGAGCTGCCGTAGAGAACAGGTCAGAGAAAGGTAAAGGGGGGATGAAACTAAACAGAATGAATTACAACAGAGCAATACACTAGGACAAGTATGCAGCACAGGAGATGTTTTTATGGTTATAATGTCACCAGATCCACCTTAAAACGCCCTGTGGCTTCTGTGATAAGGAGGTATAATTTTTACTCAATACTCCAAGATTTACTCAAATGAATTTTCCTTTCTGACTGCCAAAACAATGAATCCAGGTGTTTGAACATGTCTTGACAGATTACGATAGTGTGTCTTGCTAAAACTGGAAAATAAATGTTTCCAAACCCAAATTTCCAAACATGAAACTCATTTAGGCATTTAGGTTTTTGCATAATCAAATTTCATACCCCTGTAAGGCTGTATTTTCCCTGTGCTTAAAAAGACTGCTGTGTACCCACTAATGAACAGATCACTATTCAAATTCTCATGAGCTCACCTAATAGAAACCAAAATTTAGCTGTAAACAATAGCACAGGTGTCCAGGACAATAGTATCAGTCTATTGGGAAATACAAAATAATTAAAAATCAGGATGTAAACACCTGGCTGTTGTTGCCATGAAAAATTTCCACGCATATCTCCTCACCAAGAACATTTTCTTCACACTCTCCCTCGGTTACATTTCCTGTGAAGTAATTATCCTAAATTAACACAGTAAGACTCTCTGCTCACAGCCACGAGAGACTGGAACGCCTGCTAAATTTACATAACACCTGTAGCTAATTCACAGCAAAAAATAAGTCAGGTAATTACAGGATGATGCAGAGTCTGGACCCGCCATAATTCATTAATTATCTATGTTTTTGAAGGAAGTGATTTTGAAGTTGACGCCTAACTTTGTGTTTTACGTGTCCTCTTTGTGTGTGTGTGTGTGTGTGTGTGTGTCTAATTTGTCTTTTTCCAGACCTAGGGTCTCAGGACAGAGGATCCTGTACATTGTACAGATTATAATTTAAAGGAATACTTCACCCACAATATGACCATTTCTGTATATTTTACCCTTCGTTACGTAGACATTGTGATGAACCCAAGGTAACACAGTGAAATGTGCCCTAAAGGTGAAGTTTTGTGCATGCCTCAACTGTAAACGAAGAATCCAAAAATGACAAACATTCTTGATGAACTGAAGTACAGGGAGAAATACATTTGGTAATTGCAATACTACATCAAAACATCTCTTTACAAACTGTCACATAACTTTTGCAGTAAAAGCAAAAGCCAAGTCTTGTTTATCCAGTCATATGTTTAGTACTTCCCAAACACAACAACAGACCGGGCTGCACATGTCCTGAAATGGTGCTAAACAACACCAACCACCATCCCCTCCTCCTGATGAGAAAAACATCTCATACACATGTAATGTGAACTATGTATCTGTGGTTTACAGAAATGCCAAATTCCAACATTTTTTTTCTCCGTTCACTGGGCTGTGTGAATACAAGTTGTGTGCATGAGCAAGTGCATGTTTGAAATCTGCTGTTGCATTTCTGTTTATGCGGACATGTTTTGAAAAGTCAGGTTTTAGGAAAGGTGCATGTGTTTGAGAAGTACTGTGCATGATGACTGGATAAATGAGATTAGATTCACATTTACTTCAATTCATTAAGAATGTTTACCGTTTTTGGATTCTTCGTTCACTGTTGAGACATTCAAAAAACAAAGTATTCCTTACAAATTCAAGGTT